CTTTAAGTATAACCAGGAAGTGGATCTACCAACAACTACCAAGAAAAATATGTATTCTAATGTTTTTACTATTATACACAGTTAGGTGATGATAGACTCACTGTTTTCCACACACAACTATCATGGACTACGTGCCCTGAAACAGCCCATAGTGATAATAAAAAACAGTTACCCTGAAGAGGGAAAAAAGAAAAAGACATTTTAGAAAATCATCCTATTCTTTACAGTATGTTTGTAGTCAACTCATTATTCAAAAGTGATAGCAAACTCTCCTGTTTAAGAAGAATACATTCTGTCTGGCTATGAAGACGACGATTGTTCCAGGCCGCCTGTGCTTCACAGGCCTATTCAGCTCACGCAGACAATTTGCATCAACCTGTGCCTAGTGATACTGTCACTCAGTGGTGCCCCAGAGAGCCGCCACCTCATGTGCTCTTAACGTTGAGGTTCTCATTTATAAATTAATGTCTCTGGAATACTCATGAATTCTTACTTGAATATAATTGTTTTATTCATTGTTATTTATTAAATTTAAAAACCATAATAAATGATTTTACTTAGGTTTAGTGTGACAAAATTATTTAGCAGCAGAACTCTACAAAACAAGCAGGAAATGAAAATGGCAGACACGTAAATGCATCGACATCAGCATATAATATTAAGTACAATTATCAGGAAAATATAGCACAAAATTCTGCATCTATGCAGGGTATACCATCTAACCTAAGAACGTTATTGCTTAACGTAATCGCTAAGTGTTCATCGTTGGGGGTGAATGCATCATGCTATTCATTTAAAAAAACACAAGAACTGTATGTTCATAAAAGTTGTTACTGAATATAAATATAAACCCAGCAGCATCAAAACATTTAGCATTACAATACAGAAAGCAAATGCAATGGCAGCAGATGGTTTCAAAGAGGGGAAACAAAGAAGAAAACTACACAGTAGTAAAGTACAAATTAAAACTAAAAGGAAAAACTTTACAAAGAAATAGTTAAGGAAAAGGGCAGATGAACTCCTGGGAAAAAGTAAATGACTAACAGAGAGCAAAAGAAGGATTATTTATAAAGAGGAAAGACTGTTATGAGCAGATTAGACAATTGTCTAGAAACATGGACATGAAAAGAGTAGAATGCATCTTTGCCAGAGAAACAATTCAAGAACTAAAGAACCCCTGGCACTGAGCTAGAAAATATCACTTATGCTTTCTGCAAATTTAGAAACTTAGGTTCAGAGTTAAAGAAAAATTGTCTAAGGTTATAAAAAAAACAGAAGATAGTTAGAAATCCAAATAAATTGGTGCAGGTCAGTTAAGTATGACTATCTTCTGACTTGGACTATATGCTATACGCTGAGCAATGTTCTATTTTTTAAATCAATAAAATAGCCTACGCTCATGTCTATTAAACAAAATCCACAAGAGTAAGTGAGGAATTTCAGAAGTTTCTAACATATATCAACAATAGCTCAGAGTAACGAACACCATAAAATAGATACAAAAGTCTGGGAAAGGTATTTAATGAGTCTCTTGATCTCTCATTGTAAGAGCTTAATAACAGTGTTCCTATCACTTTGATTTCTTATATTAGAGCTTATTTTCAGAATATTCATGACGTTAATGTTTGAACAATTACCAATCCCTAACATACTGTCCTTACTCTATCTTCCGTTTTAGAAAGTACTAATAGGGCATAAAAATTGCTTTCTTAGGGAATATAAAAAAATTACTTTTCCTGTTTTCTTCAAAAGTAATTCCACAATGCTATGCATTTGATTACGCTTTCTTGCAGCGGTTGTGGGGAAGAACTAAATGCATCAGGACTACAAATAACAAAGGCAGAATTCTACCCAAAGTTACTGTTATGATTATTACCTCCTGGAGCCCCAATAGTCTTTCTTGGCACTCCTAAATGATAAGACTGCAAACACTCATTTCACATTCAAGTATTCAGGCTACTCACTCATGAATGGAGTTAGTGGTTTTGATCACATATACATAAATTTTTATGTGCATAGGACCTCATGCCTTCGAGGAACAACTCTCCTGGTAGTGACTTTAATCTAGCAAATACTAAGTCATCTGGATCCTAACCACCTCTCATTTATAAGCTTTGATGTCCCAAGGCTTCACGTGTAAATCCACTGTTTGAAACCTGGATTACATTTCTATAGAAAAAAGGCTATTTACGGCAGTTAGTTTCCCAGCGAATTCCTAAGCCTATTTAATCTATTGTAATAATATGACTAAAATACACCTAATATGCAGTGAAAAGCAGTAACATTATTAGTAATCGCAAACACCCATAACTCTTACTGTGTGCCAGGTCATCTTTTAGGTGTTTTTCCTATGTTGACTCATTTGATCCTCACACCAACCCTATGGGAAAGTTACTATTACTACGCCTGTGTCTACAGAGGAGGAAACTAAGCAGAGACTAAATAACCTACCCAAACCTGGTTAAGAAGTACCAGAGCTGGGTTTCAATCCAACCCTGGTTCCAGGGCCTGCACTTTCAGCCACTAGGCTAAATTGCCTATAATTATTGACAAGTTTTAGTTAGTTCAGCCTGCAGAGCATCCAAAGTTTTAAAAGTACATCATGGTTTTTTACTTCAAATGACTCATCTGACACTTTAAAAGATTCTTCTGAGGCTGGTTTCATTACTTCACTCAGTCACTATTATTTAATGAATTATTCACATATGTGCACGTAGAATTTACTTCAGGATCAGTGTTCGTGGTCAGAGCCCCTGGCCCTTGGCTGAAGCCCCTGGACTACTCCATTTGTCTCCAAAATGTATGCTTCCTAAATAAACAAATCTGAGTTGTCCTGCTTTTTAAAAATAAAAGTAAAAACAAATCAATAAATAATCTCTATCAGGAAGTTAAACAGAGGAACAATTACCATGACTTCTACTAACCACTCCAGAAATGCACTGAATTAATTAACTTTGATTCCTGTTCTTAATGTTGTCTTCTATGTTGTATTTACTGGGGGCTTGATAGCGTCATCTGTTCATTTTCTGTCAATTTCCCCCTCCACTGCTCTTGGCAACACCAATCTTGGAGCACCATCTCCTCACCCCAGGAAACAAAGATTCAAAGGAACTACTAACAGAGGTTCAAATCCAAAAGATTCACTGGTGCGCATACAGGACTAGTTTTAGACTAGCTGTTCTGTGAAGACAAGAAGGCAGGGGCAGGGGCGAAGGGCTGGAGGATGGAGAGAGAGCTCAGCGATGACTCAAACTAGAGAGAAAGAAATGAAGAGACAGGGTCTCCAAGTTAGTTCTAGCTTCTAAAATTACCTTTAATTCTTATTCAATTTACAAATCTCAAAATGTATCACTTGACTTTTGATTAACTTCTTAAATTTTAAACTGCAATTATAAATTCAATAGATTTTTTTCCTTTTTACATATTTCAACTACCTGATGGCAAATCTTCCCAATTACTTAATAATTCCTAAGAAACTAATAAACTAAACTTATAAAAACATGAACCTTAAATTCTTGTCAATGTCACAGTAATGTAAATACACTTATAAGTGTTTATCCTAGAAATCACAAGCAAAAAAAAAAAACTCAATTACATATTTTACATTGGAAGTACATTGACCTCAGCATCATTTAGTCAGCCATCAGAGAAATCAAAATCAAAACCACAATAAGATATCATTTCAAACCCACTAGGATGGTTATAACCAAAACAATAGACAATAAGTGTTGGCAAAGGTGTGGTGAAACTGGAATCCTCAAATATTGCTGAGGGGAATGTAAAATGGTACAGCTGCTCTGGAAAACAGTTTGGCAGGTCCTCAAAACGTTAAACACAAAGCTGTCCTATGATCCAGCAATTCCAGTCCTAGGTATGGTTGATTCTCATTATATGTAGTAGTTCTGTTCTACACAGTTTCATGAACACTGAGTAAGAGGATACTGAGCCACTACTATTAGGGTTAGGCTGTGAGCCTCTGGTAACAATTTCATCAACCAATGAATACATAACCTGATTTTATATGTGTTTCTGTTTAAAGATACCTTAAAAAGATGTTTACACAACTCTGTGAACATTCCAAAAAATCCACTGAACTGTACACTTTTTAAAAGGGTGAATATCATGGTATGTGAATTATTTCTCAATTTTTAAGAATTGGAATTACATTGAACCTGAACCTAATTGAGTCTCTAGACTTCAATACCAGTTTACAGGAAAACTGAGGAATAGAGGAAGAAATAAAATAACACTATGAAAAAGCAAAACTTAAACCAAACCCGAAATGCAGTACATTGTACAAGACATATGTCCAGCTCTTCCAACAAGTCAATGGCATAGGAAGAGAGAGAGAAAGGGGGTTAAAGAGGGAGGGAACTAAGAGAATAAAAGATACTCACATGACATAATCATATGCAACGTGTAAACCCTTTTAGATCTTAATTTGAACAAACCAACTCTTAAGTAAAATAAGGGAGATCTCAATATGGACTGCAGAGTAAATGTTATTAAGGAATTACTGTGATAATGAAGTCATGATTATATAGATTCTTATCTGTTAGAGATTCATACTTAAGAATTTAAGGAAAAATGACCAAAAACCTGGGATCTGTTTTAAAATACTCTATTAAAAACAACTTGTTGGGGGAGGATGGTGGTGAACAGGTATAATAAGAATGGTATACATGTTTTTAATTGTTGAAGCATGGTGATAGGTACATAGGAGTCCTTTAGACTATATTTTCCACTTCTATGAATGTCTGAAACTTTCTATGATGAAAAGTTTTTTTAAATTATAATTATAAGGCAGTCTTATTATTCAAAGAAGTCTAATTCTCTTAACTATGAAAACTACACAAACGGCCAAATATGGAGAGATTGCTTATTTGTGTATTCTTTTTAAACTTAATTCAAAATCTTCCAGGAAGTAAAAGACATTTGTCTAATAAAAAAATTATACCGTCACAAACAATTTTGGGATAACTTTCCTATGAAACTTTTAGGGCTACCATCTCAGCTGTTAAGATTTCTTCAAGATCAGAGAGGCCCAGGGACAGACCCTTGCCTGCAACCACAACGGCCAGCTGAACCTGCATGATAGCTGCTGCATCAATGACACCAGAACTTAGAGAAGGAGACAGGTCCCTCGGCAGCCTGCCTCCAACCTAAAGGATGTCTTACTGACCTCCAAACGAGACACTGACCGTTACCTGCCAGAAAGTTGTCGAACATATACATACAAATCATCTGCCTTTGCAGTCAACAATTATAATAAAAAATGAAAAAAACTCAAAATAATCAACGATCCGTTCAATATGAATGGTGCCTCTACCTTGGGTGGGACGACGCTGACCCTTAGATTCAGGTGTACTATTAATGTATATATGCTTAATTTTTCTGTTTACTCAAAGAAATCTATAACTCTACTCGGGCGGCTACAATACTGATTAGATGTGACATTTATCTGAATTTTAAGATATGTGAATGTCTTCCCATGTAAATATATAAGAACCCTGAACTTGGTTTGTATGTATTCCATATATTTTCTACCTTTTGGAGCCACAGTTCTTTTAGGTGATAAACTAATAAGGATATAATCTTGGATCTTTTTCATGACTTGGTCTGAATTCTGATCACAACTGGTAAGGCCATTCTACTAAAAGGTATTATTTGCAGATTCCTTCAGCTTTTTAATTAGGTACTGTTCTAAATTCAGCTGCTGTTCCCCAAGGGTTTCCTATTCTAGATTTAAGGAAATGACAGGAAAATTTTAGGAAAAAACTTGAGGGCAGGAAGTCCCTGCCACGTAAAGAGAACATGTAAGTGTCTCTTTTCTTTAACAACTGACATTTCAATTACAGTGCCATGGAATAAGCAGTTCATGTACTTACACATTAATCATTTACATATTTATTAGTAGAAATACCTCACGAAAACACAACCTAATCAAATAGGCTCTAAAGAAAAAAAAAATCTTAATGTATTTTTCTTATTCCCCATATTCCTGTGTGTTCTGTGCACCCGTGTTCTGTTGGTTTGTCTTTGTCTCCCCATCAAAACTGTACATTTCTTCAGGTCACAAAAAAGGAAAGGAAAGAGGAAAAGTATATGCTAGGTGCTTTGTTATTCTGTGAATGAGATGTAATACAGTCAACACAAGCTTAGTTGGTGAGTAAAATACGTTTGAGGAGTACAGACAGAATCTTAGAATTAAAGGAGGGTAATGTCTCCATAGGACGTTTTCATCAACATAGGGTTCTCTGGTGAATACCCCTCATCTTCTTTAAGGTCTCCTAACACATTTACATTCCCCAATATGTTTTCAAATCTGTTATTTAATTCACATTACATACATTACCTACATGCATCTGGGAGGCACTTTAATGACTGTTACTTTACCTGTAATGGCTACTGCAAAGATCAGATAAAATAAGTATGAACATTTACTCTAAATTCTAAGACCTTAAAGTGCTGTTAGTCTCATATTTATATATAAGGAATAATTCGCTTCAATCAAATAAAATGGCTATCCTTAATTTGTCCTTTTCCTAACCTTGCTCAATTATTTCCTGCCTTATATATGAGGTTTGCCATACATTTAGGCCTATTAATCCTTTGAGCATCAATTAAACATGTAACTCCTATTTAGACTATAAACTCCTTAAGGACAGGAAACACAAGAACTTCAATTCCTTCTGTGTCTGTACTTCCTTCTACTTCCTCTCACCATTGGCCAGTTTTTTACAGAGTGGGTATTTGTGGCAGCATTATTAAATATCCTTAATGAAGGCATGGTACAAGTACGGAACCAGCTAATCATTCTCCCTAAAGTGCGTCAATAAAATCATTAGGGGGCCATTAGAGAGGAAGAGGAAAATACCATGATTACCAGGATCACGATGCTGTCTCTAACAAGCCATAGCAACCACTGAAGAGGTAGCCCTAAAAAGCAGCAGCTACATTCCACATGCTTACTAACAACCCTTATTCCAAAGACTCAAGGTCCTCTGAATGTCTACAATCACTCTACAAATGTTTCAGTCTTTAAACCATTATTATTTTCATAATTTAAATCTGAATAAGGTAGCCTGAAGCATGTACAATTAGAAAATACGTGGAAAACAAACCACTTCTAAGTGGTCTTACTGTGCTGCAGCACAGCTATTATACAGCGTATATGTGAATTACTTCTCAAATGAGGGAATTCTGCAAAGAATTAAAAACCTGTAAGACTTTTCAAACTACCGTTCTAGTGATTTCTGACATGCTTGATATTATTGTTGGTGGTGATGACAATAGGATTTACTGACTACTTACCATGTGTCAGAAAGTGCGCTAACTATAATTATATAAAGCAGATATCATCTTTATTTTCCAGATGAGCAGACTGAGGCTTAACTGAGGTTAGATGTCTGGCCAAAGCTAAGTGGAAGGTTTTTCCAGTTCACTGTACAGCCTGGGTTTGGTTATCAGACCTAGCACTTAATAGCTGTGACATCCCAGACATATTACTTGACTGTTCTGGGAGCTAAGTGTCTTAGTTGTAACATCACTACTATCAACATCTGTTTCATACTGCAGAGTCTGAAAAATGTTTTGATTTCTATTAAGTTACTGGATATTCACACCACCCTCATTTTCTCATTCTGCAGATGACTTACCCAAGGTCACATGCCCGGTGGCTAGATCAGGGCTCACATACAGACAATACCCTAACTACTCACAATCTATTCTGAAGCTCAAATGAGACAGTGTGTGAATGTATTTTGTAAACTCTACATCCTTTTGTAAAAATGTAAACTAGCATATTATTATCCATGTTCCCTGATTAGGGAGGTACTGATTGTATTCAATGATCTCGAAAGTTATATCTAGATGTAAAACTGCAAGTTAGAAGAGTTTTTTTCTTTTGCTTTAAAAAAAAATAGATTCCCACCATCTAAAGACTATTAACATTTTTCTTTACACAGTATGATCACGCTCAATAGAATATAAATTTTTTCTTTTCCTCAAGATAATGTTAAGAATCTCTCCATGGTATTAATCATGCATTCAGCCAAAAAAAAAAAAATAGCACCTACTATGGACACACTGGGTATGTAAGCAAGCAAACAAACAAAAGATAACCTGTAAGAAAGTGCTATAAAGGAAACAAGGCTCTAGAATAGGGAGCTTTAGGAAGGTTTCATTGAAGCGCTCTCTGAGGAGATGATACTTAAACTGAGACCTAAACTAGCAGCCAGAAACACAAAGAATAGAGGCAGTAGGACACTGCAGGCAGTGGGAACAGCGTTTATGAAGACTTCAAGGAAGAAAAGGAAAAACCTGCCCATTTCAGGAAAGAGAACACGAATGCTAAGGGCAGCCTAGCAGCCGAGGAAGGCTGGTACAGATGAGGCTGAAGGGCACACGGGCCAGATCCCACATAAGCCGGGAGGCGTCTGAGTAGTGCTCAGAATGTACTGCGAAACCATTTAAAAGTTTTAAACAGGGAGGCACATGATCCAAATTCCACTGCAGATCACCTTGGCTGTTGTATGGATAAAGTAGCTAGTAAGATAAGAAGAGAGCCCAGCCCGAGCCCTGAAGAAGGCTAACATTCAGAAGGCAGATCAGAGCTGGCAAAGGAAACTGAGAGGGAGGGGCTGATGAGAGAGCAAGACAGCTCTGTGTGGGGTCATGGGAACCAAAAGAAAGTGTTTAAAGGAAGACCAGATGCTATACTACTTTAAGTTCTGCTGAGAGGTCGAGTAAGATGAAGACAGAGAAGCGTCTTCTGGATTTGTAACCTAGAGATCACTAATGACCTAGAACAGTTTCAGTGGCGTGCAGTCTATTCTGTGCACAACCTTTGTAAATATTTAATGACTTCTTATATCCCACTGAGTGAAAACACAGCCATTTTTCCTACAAAAGTGAGTTTTCTCCACAGGAATTAGATATTTTAAATTCAATTAAAGAACATGATTTACCTTATTTGAACCAATATTGTTTATAATACAAACTATGACGAAGAACTAGCACTCTATGTAGGAAAAAGCAGCTGCACACAGGACACACAGGGACGCAAAGCTACTCTGTTTGAAAGGCTGGCTACTATGCTGGTGTTGTGTTTTTCTGCTCACCGTTAAGTTATGAATTTCCAGCCTCTACAATAAAGGCCTGAAAGAGATACTCAAATCTCCAGCACCCATGTATGCATGGGCCCTTGACAACTTCAGGTTAATGGGGTACAGGTTAAAGTACCTGGGGAGGAAGGGCTCTTTCTCAAATAAAGTGCTGCTCAGGAAAAGCCTTTTGTCCTTCCACCTTTTCACCACCTGGAACATAATGTGATGTTTGGAATTACAGTAATCTTTAGACCACGGGAAGGAAATCCACAGGCTAAGGAGAGTAGAGCGGAGTGACAGGAGGAGCCTGGTTCCTTGAGGGCAGTCTCAGGCCACTGTATTAGCCCTAAAAAGCCACCTTCCAGATTTCTTGCTGGAGGAGGCATGTAAACCCCTCACTTGTTTTAAGCCATAATAGCTAAACACGATGCTAGCAGATACATGATATATTCATTTCATTCCTTCCTCAGTAAGAGTATTTTTAAAAGAAGCAATGTTTAGTACAAGAAGACATCAGAACTATAGCAAATTCCACTGCAACTAGGAGTGGCATGTGATCTAGTTGTGAACAATGAGGTACAAGGAAGACTGATGGGGGCTCCTAGGAAATGAAACCCTTTGCTGATAAGAAGAAAGTGCTGAAGAAAAATGGTAGCTGGGCTGTCCCTGCCATGCCCTCCACACCACCGCTTGCCCTCTGCCCTTCCTGCCTTTTGAACTGGTTGTGATATCTGGAGCCACATGCTATCCTGAAGCCACAGGACAACAAGCACAAGGATGAAAAGCCCATCTCCAACAATGGAAAAACCCTGGCTGCTTGATGGCACTACCAACTGCTAAACCAGACTGCCTTTCTCCAGATTTAAGATAGTTAAGTGTCTTTATTGATAAAGTCATTTATTATTTACTATTTTTTTAAGTTTTTTTTCTTTTTTCCCCCCAGCAAAAAGCATTCCTACCTTCTTTCAAATAGCCAAGTGTAGCATTTCCTCCTTTACTCTGGCTTTGCATCTCCTTTCCAAGTTTCTTCTCCAGTATAGGTTGAAATTGTACTAATGTCCTGTCCTTGGAATGCTCTCCCTTCTAAATCGTATCAGTTCTTAAAGGGCCTAACTTAATTCCTGTGTTCCTCAAGACCTGTTCCAAAGGAGCCACAGGGACCATGTCCTGATGCCCACAATTCTCTCCAGTCATTTACTGACAGTCACTCACCATTCTCCACCCCCTTTACTTTATTCCCCACATAAACCCTCCCGTTCAAATCAGCGCAGCAATTAGCCAATTCAAAATTCAATCTAAGAATTTTCAGGCTGGGAATGCAGAATACCTTCACTGTGGCTCTTTTGCTACTCTTAACTGAAAGCCTAGTTGTAAACTCATGGTTACGTTACTTTAAGTATATGCAACTTATTTTCTCTTCTGGATCAGTAATTCTTAAGTATAAATCTGAATGTATCTGGGAAACTTTTCCAAAATACATACACCAAGAACCATCCCAAACCTACTGACTCATTTCCAAGGGCACATGTTGAAGGTCCCAGGTGAGGCTGATGTGTACCCCTGGGTAAGATTTTTCTGCTGTAGGTATTCTACAGCTGCACTGTTCAATAAGGTAGCTGCTGGCCATATGTGGCTATAGAAGACTTGAAATTAATTTAAATTTAAAATCTGATGTGAGATTCAGTTATAGGAAAACTTTATGTCTGGAATGTGGGTGTGTGAATTTACTTTTGAAATGTAGATTTTATGAAATTTAAATACAGACGGTATTTCCAATGAAAATTTAACATCTGAATTGAAATGTTTTATAAGTAGATTACAAAGACTTGGTACGAAAAAATGTAAGATACTATTAATAATTTTATACTAGTTACATGTTAAGATGATAATATTTTGGATATACTAAGTGAAAATATATTTAAATAATTGATTTCCCCCATTTCTTTTACTTTTTTAATATGACCACTAGAAAATTTTAAACTATGTGTATTGCTGCATTCTATTTCTGTTGGACAGTACTGTTCTTTAAAGAGTCATTTTTACCCAATTGTGACTAAGAGTTATGCTATTTAAAACTCTCTATCACATTTACTTGGAGAGAGCTACTCACTGTGCTACCCAATGTCTCCTTTAGAAAGGCATGTGTAAGTCTGAAATTTCTCTCAGACTTCAGTGTCAGGAAGAAAATTCCTTTTCCTAAGCAACTGGTATAGTTTTATTTTAGGAACAATGCTAATCTTATTACAAATGAGGCACCTCTTCTTGCTCTGCCCACAGGAAGCTCAGAGCCAAATAAGAGGCAAACTTTATTAATTGTATAGACTCTTCAGGAACACTTCTCTACCTAGTGCCCAGATTTTATTTTTCTCTTTGAAAGTCACAAATTTTTTTTTTTTTGGCAGTGAGGTAGGAAATAACCTTCAATAAGCATCAAAGCTTAGATAAACACTAAAAACAAAACTTAGTTAAATTAAATATAGAAAATTGTATTCAATTCCTTAAACTGTTATTTCTCATTTTCTAATTTACTCTGCATAATTCATTCTTTTCAATGAAAATAAAGCAACCTTTAAACAACACACCACAATACAGCTGATCCTAGAACAACATGGGGGGATAGGGGTCTGGACCCTCTGAGCAGTTGAAAATCTGAGTGTAACTTACAGTCGGCCCTCCATAGATACAGTACCTCCGTATCCATGGTTCTGCACCCATAGATTCAACCAACTGCAGATCGTGTAGTACTGTGGTTTTTACTATTTTTAAAAAATCCATGTGCAAGTGGACCCGTGCAGTCCAAACCCATGTTGTTCAAGGCACACTCATATACTTTGGAGAAGGAGAAACAGAGTCACTTTTGAAATAAGATGAAAATCGTTAGAGGACAAAGGTGTCATTAGTGAATATTAGTGACACCGTTCTGCTTTATCTAATGAAATAATGTTCAGAGTCACAAAAGAAGGAACCCAAATCAGGCTCCTCGAATTCACTCATGGGAATTCACTCCTATTAAGCCTAACCAAAGAGGAAACAGCAGTTTCAGGTCTAACTTAGAAGGTTTAAAAAAAAAAAATTATGTAATGTTATTTGACTAAAGATTTTGTGAAATTCTCTCATTCATTTACAGCCAGTATGATAAGTATAGATTGTTTAATTACCTCAAATATCATAAGCGCAACAAGACCTTTCGGCAGATACCTATTTTACTAAGTCCTTAACTAAAACTGAGCATACCAACTAGCTTACAGATGTTATCAAGAAGAACAAATTTATATTCTACCAAACAGAACACTTAATCTAGAAATGAAACTCATGGTAGCAATCTGAAAGACTGCTAAAAGCTTCTATTCTTCACATGAATAGATCATTTCATATAGGTATACACCAACTATGTAATAAGAAACAATAATAAAGATTTTAATTCTGACTTTCCAAGCCAAATTTTCCACATGGGTAAAGGGGAGAAAAACTAATACTTTTTCAACAATCCATCAGAGTCACTGAACACCTACTCTTTTTCAAGCACCATAACCGGCCCAAGATACAAGGCTGAATAAGATGCACAGGTCTCATGCTCTCACTGGGGAAACCAGAGTGTGATTAAGCAGGGCCGAGGTGGGCTGCTGTCTAGGAATTCAGGTCTATAAGGGACACTAAAGCACCACTGGACTATACTGTCCATGTATGGCTAAAGTCAGCTCAAGCTCTAAAATTGAACAGTATAGAGATTTTTATCAGGAATAATAAATGTTATCATCTAAATCTTAAATGCCCTTTAAGAAGCTCTCTGCTTTAGAAAATTCATGAATTAAAACTACCAAAACTTGGGAAATGTTTTGTCTAATTCTTTTTTAGAAAATTGACCTTGCTTTAGCAAGCAGAAATGAAGCCGTAAGGTATTTGTTTCTATGTGGAAATGTTATGAAAATAAAATTAGTTTATCCTTATTCCATTAAATACATGTTGAGCAAACATTTAAAAAATATTATCATTAGTTCCTAACCCACATGAACTGACCCAACCCCAGGCAAAACAAAGTAGCAAGTGAAATGTCAATCCAGTGTAACTCAGCACTACAAAAGAAATCCTGTGTCATTCACAGGCACAGAGCCAACAAGCACCAACACAGACTTAAAAGGCCTAGAACAGCATCCCAGAGAAAAGGGGCTCCTACACCAAGATCTCAAATAGGAGTTAGTCAAGTGGAAAGTAGATGGGGGAAATACGTCTTATAATACATCGGCTTCAAACCTCTGAGATCCTCTAGTCTGGAGGCTATAGAATTGTAAATACACATACTTTGAGAAGTACCATGAATTACCAATCTGCCACGGAAAAAGGAATCAAAGAGATTAAAATTACTTTACCAAGTTAGAAGTTTGCTGAATAAATCTGGGAGGGCCAGAAGTCAAGGCATATATTTAACCCACTGCAAAGCTAAAAACATCCTTGTTCTATTCTCAGTCTTCTGAATACTATTTAATCCCCAAATATGTACTATCTTCTCAATTCAGAACCACAAAACAAAAATTCAGGCAACATTACTGGCATTTTGTGGAAATTTTCAGGAAGCTGTGCTTCCTGTACTGCATAGAGATCTAACTCTAAGTTACTAGATGAGTTCCACACCTGGGCAAACAATTGGCTTTATCATTCACAGGTTGGTTACACGGATTCCAGTCCAAACAGAAAAGCACCCAGCGGAAGATGTCTGGAAAACTCTCTTAATGCAATAAAGGAAAACCCATACAGTCCTTTCTTAACTTTATCTTCTGGGGCCAACTAATCTATACATTTCTAATGGAGATAAGCTTTCAATATTTGTCAAATAACCAGTCCCTGCATGGAGCCATTATAAATTTAATTTATCACACACTGATGCCTTTAGGACCTATTAGGTAGGTGCTCAGGGATATTTTCCCCTAAACTTTCAGAATGCTTGCTAGGAATTCTCTTTTCAGTATTATTTAATTATGTTAATGTTACTATTATTATGTTACTCTTTTTTTTTTTTTTTTTTTTTGCAGTATGCGGGCCTCTCACCGCTGCGGGCCCTCCCGTTGGGGAGCACAGGCTCCGGAGGCGCAGGCCCAGCGGCCATGGCCCACGGGTCCAGCCGCTCCGGGGCATGCGGGATCCTATTATGTTACTTTGCATAGAGTCCCTTCTTCTCCTCAGTTAAAGCACTGAAGGTATTGAACTTACTAGATTATGAAATATAATCACAGAATTTAGGGAATTTACTTTTAGAACCAACTAATAGTAAAGAGTTTTTTATAACAGAAGCTGCCTGTTGTGGCTACCCAGAGAGCTGCTCTCTTGCTATGGGCTAAGATAATCAGTTTTAAACTGTGTCTAAAATAAGAGCAACTATGCCATCAATGTTGACCTCTGGAAATCTTGTAATCAAAATCAATTTGGTTATAAGAATTGATTATAAAAATTGCTGTTTAGAGGCCTTCATTGTTATTTTCTTGGTCTTGGCTAAACTCTACACAGCAGAGATTGCTACATAGCCACTAGGTAAATTAGGGGTTATCTATCCTATGTTGTATTATATCTTGATTCAAGACATGGAACATGAATTACCTTGGCTGCATGTAACAATCCTCAAGAGCAAGACAAAACTCTGGCAATGCTGCTATGCTGTGTCCTCTTTATCCCTGGACATTTTGTGCTGAGGACTGTTCCATTCCAAGCTACAGTGCTAAATGCTAAACCACTTCGATTTTTAAAATCATACGTAGAAGGTGAATACGTGAATTTAATTTCTTGTCTGCTTTATTTTATTCATTCTGGAATAAAGGAACGGAAGCATTTTCTAGTTTAGACTTTGAATGTCAACACGGGGAAAGGCTACTACTACACAGCTCAGTATGCTATAATGTTTAAAATAAAAATATAAATTTCAATAAATAAATTTCAGTTCCTCTGTTTCCTTTGCCTCCTGTTTGACAGATCTGCAGAAGCAGCAGAAACCTTGAATTTTTACAAATGTGATTTCAGTTGTGCAGGCTTGCTCTTGTGATTTAATCGCTGCCATGGTCCCCTCCCCGCTCTTGGGGGTTGGGGATGTGTGATGAGGAGAATAGCTGCAGTAATTGTAATGACAGAATGGGTCAGGGGAGGCACAAGGAAAGGGCCATAAACAAAAGAGCTTCAATGTATTAGAAAAAACAGGGTTTCTAGAGGCTTGTGATGTTTTGAATGTCAACCTGTAATCCAACTCTAAAAGCAGAAAGTAATCATAGGAGAAAAAAAAATCGCCAGCCAACAGAAGGTCATCAAGTTTGTTAAAAGGGATATTCAAGTGCAAATTCACAGGTACACACGTACATGTACGGATACACTTGCACATGTGGCCAATCCCTACTCGGATCCAGAACTGGGTCAGGGTTTTGAGAGATGGGAGAGCAGAGAGCTGGGTGAGTGGCAACCAGACATAAAGAAATGCCTTCTCTGTAAGCCAAGGATTCCAAATGAAACTTGATTCAGAGAATTTTTTTAAACTTTTGCTTTTATTCAGTTCAAGCCTTATAGAAAAATAACCTCTAGCTTGAACTGTTTGCAAATGTTTATTTTTAGCTCTCCATTCACCCTTAACTGCATAAAGGAGTGAAGAAAAGGAAGAAGCAAAATAAAGCTAAAAAATAAGAAAATAGCCATACTTCACCTCGAGTTCAGATATACTCACAAGCTTTCTAATTCATGATCAAGAAGTCTAAATTTGGACTAAGGAAAAAAGATACTATCACACACATCCTCTTCACTCAGGAAGAGAAAGTTAATAGTATCTGCAAAGCCTTCAAACCACAGGAATTCAGAGACACTTAACATCAATTATTTAAATGACTACTAACCTATCGCAGAGCAAAGGAAAAAGAGAACAAACTGTTTAGGTCACTGACCAGACATATAAACACTATTT